CTCTCAGTGTAGCTACAACTAGCAAAGTGTGACTCTGATATATCTGTGGCCCTTCTCATTAAACATGTACATCCTGAAGTCTACTCAACAGTCTTTTATCTACGAATACATTAATCCATCAAAACTACTGTCATTTAGCCCTACATCTATCGTGTTATACTTATTTATCCTTTTTTCTTGAAAATATGTATTTACCTATAACTAAACCCTTTCTATTACAAAGTAATCACAAGGGGCTCCCTCCATTATCATTTTACACCTGGCACCCAAAACTTACCTACCTCACCCTCTCTAAATGTGTTCCTATCTTTAGCATTCAAGTCCCCATACCACATTTACTCTCTCACTTGGTTCAAAGGCTCCTATACATTCACTTAACATCTCCAAATCTTCCTCATCTTCACTCTGCATTCACTCTCTTCTCCAGGTGCATACACGTTATTATGACCACTTCTCGCATCCAACCTTTACTTTAATCCACATAATCTTGAATTTACACATTCATGATTCTCTTTTCTCCTTCCATAACTGATCATTAACATTATGCTACCTCATTCCTTTGCTCTAACTCTTCAGATACTCCAGGTTTAATCCCATGTTATTTCCCCACTGAAACATATCCTACCCCTTCAGCTTGTTTCGATTTGGACCAGACATTCCAACTTCTTTTCATCCATAACATAGCAATCATCTTGTTTCTTGTCATGAAACCGCACTACATCCACGCACAATTTAGCAACCCAGTTCCTCCCATACACCAGATTTCTTCTCTTTTTTAGTTATTGTATACAGGAGAAGGGTGTTAACTGCCCATTGCTCCTGTGCATTTAGCTCGCCTCATACGACACGCATGCTTACGGAGGAAAACAGATTCTTTTCACTTCCCCATGGACAATAGAAGAAACGAAAAAAGAACAAGAGCTATTTTAGAAAAGGAGAAGGAAAAACCTATGTGTATTGTATTATATATATGCATGTGGTGTCTATTGAAGGGGCACCAAAGTGTAAGTTTGGTAGTGCAGATATCTGTTATCTTAGCGTTGTTTATGAGACAGAAAAAAGAAACCAGCAATGGGCTACCATCATGCAAAACAGTTACAGTTTTTGTTTCACAGTCATCTGGCCAGGACGGTAGTAACTTCCAGCGGTGCGTTGCTGTCTACCAACCTACTACTCACTTATCTTCAACATTATTGCAACTCCTTCTTTAGCTCTAAACTCTATTTGAAACCCCTCGACCCTAATCCCATTTATTTATATATATATATCATATATATTATATATATATTATATATATATATATATATAAATGGGATTAGGTCAGCGGGTTCAAATAGAGTTTAGAGCTACAGAGGGTAAGCCATAATGTTGAAGGATAAGCTGTGGCAGGAAAAGAGGGGACTAACAAAAATACATAAATTCATAGGATTATGTGAGTATAAAAAAGATGGATGTGAAAAGTGGGTTAGTAGTACGCGTGTATGCCCCAGGAGCCTGTCAGTAGGATGTGAAGAGGACGGGAGAGAGAGATGATTCTGGGAAATGTTGAAGTGAATGTGTGGGGTAGTTTGAATCCAAGTGTGAGGTTATGGTGGTTGGGGATTTCATGCTAATAGTGCCCCATCACAAAAATGTTATGGAGTGGAGTAGTAGCTTAAATTTGGGTGACCAGGGGTAAATGTAAATGGGGAGCCTTTAATTGATCTATGTGTGAATGAATTTGGTAATATAGTAATACTATTTTTATGAAAAAGAGGATTAAAATAAATATAAAAGGTAGATGTAGCACGTATGAAAGTAGTTTGTTTAGGATTATGTATTGGTGGGATAAAAAGGTTGGATGGGTTAGGCTCAGGATGTACATGTTTATAGAGGGGCAACTGACTATATCAGAATTATTCAATATTGTAGCATACAGTTAGAGCTAAGAGGTATATGGTAACAAGAAGGAAGGTGGGCAACAAGTAAGAGGGAGGTGATAGTGTATAAACTAAGGGAAGGAGGAAGTTGGGCGAGATATAAGGACTAATTGGGCAGAAAGGTGGGATAGTGCAAGATGAGCTCCCCCCAGTGGGAGGGTGAAGAAGGTTGTGAATAGGTTTTAAAATGCAGTATTAGAATGTGGGCAGAAGTTTGTGGTTGTATAGAGATCAGGCCCCGACGAGGAAAGAGGAGTGATTGGTGAATGATGAAGGAAAGGGTGTGATAAAAGGATAAAGAGTAGTTTACTGAGAGGTTTTACAACAGCAGAAGTTGTTGAGAGCAGAGTATATGGAGATTAAAGAAGGTGATCCCCCCCCCCCGCGATTGGCGAGAGTGCAAAAGCCGAGAGCAGATGATAGAGTGGAGAGCACTGTCAAGAAAATTTTAATGAAATAAGAAAAAATTTGGAGGAGTTAAAACAGTTAAGGAAAGCTAGCGGTAAATTATGGATTTGGTCCGTTTAAAACAGCAGTAGGGAGTTAGTAGAATGCGGGGAATAATGCTAGGTATTAGGTAGATGCGCGAGAATATTTTGCGGAACTTTTAAATGCCAAAAAGAGGCATAAGAGGAGGCGGTTAATTTCATGCACTGGCCAGGGGGGTATACCATCTTTTAGCGGAGTGAAGTAGGAGAGAATGTAGTGTGGTGGACGGTAACGCTGGAGCTTACGTAGAATGAAAGGGGGCTAAAGCAGCTGGAACTGATGGGATCATGACAGAAATGTTAAAGCAGGGGGATAATAGTGTTGGAGTGGTTGGTACTTTTGTTTAAGAAATAAATGTATGAAGGGGGAAGGTACTAGGGATTGGCGGAGAGCCATGTATAGTCCCTTATATAAGAGGGAAGGGACAAAAGAGATTGTAAAAATTATAGAGAATACGTTTACTGAGTATACCAGGAAAAATATGTATACGGTTAGGGTTATAATTGAAGAATTAGAGGTAAGAAGAATGTAGATTGCGGGTGAGCATGGAGGCTTCCCCTCCCCCCCACCCCGAGGTAGGGGATGTGTGAGATCAAGTGTTTACATTGAGCATATATGTGAACAGTAATTTAGATAAAGGTTGGGAAGTTTTAATTGCATTTATATATCGGACTTTGAAAAGGCATATGATAGAATGGATTAGAGGAGCCAATGTGGCAGAGTGTTGCAAGTTTATGGATAGGTGGTAAGTTACTAAATTCTGTAAAGAGCTTTTATGCAGGATAGTGAGGCTCAGGTTAGGGTCGTCGTAGAAGAGAGGCGAATACTTACCGCGAAAAGTAGGTCATAGACAGGGATGTGTAATGTCACCATGGTTGTTTAATATATTTATGATGGGGCGCCACCTTGTAAAAGAAGTAAATGCTAGGGTGTTCGGGAGGAGGAGTAGGATTGAATTATGGGGAATCAAATTCAAAATGGGAATTGACACAGTTACTTTTTCGTGCTGTCACTGTGCTTATGGGAGATTCTAAGAAAAATTGCAAAGGTTAGTGGATGACCCTCTGAATGGTGTGTAAAGGTAGAAAGTTGAAAAGTGGAACATACAAAGAGTAGATGATGAGGGTTCAAATGACATTTAGATAAAGAGAAAATATGGATATCAATTGAGGGAGGGAGGAAGTATGTTCACGAAGTGAAATGTTTTCAGATACTGGGAGTTGACGTGTCGGTGGATGGATTTCTAGAAGGAGATGGGTTAATCTTAGAATGAAGTGACGCAAAAAAGGTGAGTGGTGCGTTGAGGTATATGTGAGAGTCAAAAACGTTAGCTATGGAGGCAAGAGGAATTGTATGAAGTATTTAGTACCAACATCTTAATATGCGATGTGAAGCTTGGGTGTAAATGCAGCAGCCCCCCTTAGACGGTTGGAGCGGTGCAGGAATAGTCCATGGTCTAAGGCAATGTGTGGTGTAACTATTATGCAGACAAATTCGGAGTGTGGAAATTAGGAGAAGGTCGTGGAGTTATAAAGCATTAGTCTGAGGGCAGAAGAGGTTGTTGGGAGGTTGGTTGGTCATTTAGAGAGAATGATCAAAGTAGAGACATGGAAAGATATAAATCTTTTGGGCGAAGCGAAAAGAGGGTAGGGTCGTCTCGAAAGGGTTGGGAAAGAGGAGGTTAAAGGAGGTTTTGTGGAAGCGAGGGGCTGGGACTTCCAGCAAGCGTTGCATGTGGTGTTAGCATTGGAGTGAATGGGACGAATGATACTTGGGACTGCACTGATTGTTGAGAGTGTGTGCAGGGTAATATTTAGTGAAGGGATTCAGAGGGAAAACGGTTATTTTTTCATTTTTATAGTCGGATGGTGGGTCTGGAAAGGGACATACCAATGCCTGCACTTTAAAGGACATGGTTTAGGGATATTGTCGATGTAATATTTGGTGGGAGTATGTTGTGTATCTCTATTTGTATATGCCTTCTAAACGGTTGTATTCTGCGGAACACCTTGCAAAAGCAGTGATAATGTGTGGTGTGTTGAAAGTGTGAACTAAATGATGATGAGGATTATTTTCTTTTTGGCGGTTTTCTTTCCTTTTATTTGGGTCACACTGCCTCGGTGGGAGACGACACCTTGTTGAAAAAAAATATATAATTATATAATATCATATTTATATACCTTAAGTATATTTATATATATATATATATATATAATTATATATATATTATGATATTTTCCACATAGTGCGGCGTCTCGCCCAACCGAAGGCAGTGGTGACCCAAAAATAGTAAAGAAATTCCAAAAGCCGAAAAATACTCTTTCATCACTTCAACACTTTTCTCACCACACTCACACATTATCACTGCTTTGCAGAGGTGCTCAGAATACTAACAGGCTTCAGGAAGCATTATTAATGTATAAAAGATACACAACATATCCTCCAAACTGCAATATCCCAACCCCTTCCTAAAGTGCAGGGCATTGTACTTCCCAATTTCCAGAGATCTATATGAACATAATCGGTTTCCCTGAATCCTTCTCTAATTATTACCCTGCTCCACACTCCAACTAGATGTCTCTGGTTACCAAGGTATCATTTCGCCTCATTCACTCCTATATAACACGCTATGCCGCTTGCTGGAAGTCCACAGCCCCTAGCCACAAACTCCTCTTTATCCCTCTTTCAGCCCTTTCAAGGACAACCCTTACCCTCTTCCTTCCCCCTATAGATTGTATATGCTTTCCATGTCATTCCTACTTTGATCCATTCTCTCTAAATGACCAAACCACTTCATCCAAACCCTCTTCTGCCTCTGACTAATGCTTTTATTAACTCGCACACCTTCTCCTAATTTCCACACTCACGAATTGTTCTGCATAATTTTTACACCACACATATGCCCTTAGACAGTGACATATCCACTGCATCCAAGAACCGTGCTCTCGCACTGTGCTTGCGTTTACCACCCCAAGCTTTACATTTATCATAAAGAGTGTTGGTACTACTATACTTTATACATTCCTCTCTTTGCCCTCCATAGATTACGTTTTTTGATCAAATTATACTCAAGCACCACTCAACCTTTTTTCCATCATCAATTTCTAATGATTAACCTCATCCTTCATTAAACCATCCGCCAACACGGGTCAATCCCAAGTATCTGAAAACAATTGACTTCTTACCATACTCCTCCTCCCCAATTTGATATCCATTTATTTCATTTATCTAAATCATTTGAAACCCTCATCACCTTACTTTTTCTTATGTTCACTTTAAACTTTCACATTTACACACATTCTCAATCATCCACTAACCTTTGCAATTTATTCTTTGAATCTCCCATAAGCACAGTATCATCAGACAAAAAGTAGTAACTGTCGTCATTTCCCATTTTGAATTTGATTCCCATAATTTAAATCCCACCCTCTCCCAAACACCTAGCATTTACTTCTTTACAAACTCCCATCTATATATATATTAAACAACCATCAGGTGACATTACACATACCTGTCTAAGACCTATTTTTACCGTGGATGTATTCTCCCTTCTCTACACACCCTAACCTGAGCCTTCACTATCCTCATAAAAGCTCTTTACAGCATTAGTACTTACACCTATTTCCACTATAGTACTTGCAAACATCTGCCGCATGGCTCCTCTATCCACTATATCATATGCCTTTTCTAAATCCATAAATGCAATAAAAAACTTCCTACATTTATCGATAATAACTGGTCACATATAGGCTTCAAAGTAAACACTTGTCTACACATCCCCTACCCACTCTGAAGCCTCCTGCCTCATCCGCAATCCTACATTCGTCTTACCTTCCTAGTTCTTTCAATTATAACCCTTCCGTATACTTTGCCTGGTGTGCTATACTCAGTAAACTTATTCCTCTTTAATTTTGACAATCTCTTTTGTCCCTTTTCCCATTAAATAAAGCGGGACTATACATGCTCTCCGCCAATCCTAGGTACCTTCCCCTCTTTCATACATTTATTAAACAAAAGTACCTAACACCCTCCAACACTATTTCCCCTGCCTTTTGAAATTTCTGTCATGATCCATCAGTTACAGCTGCATTACCCCCTTTCATTTCTACGTAATGCCTCACGTACCTCCACAACTTAATTCTGCTCTTCTTCACTCCTAAACGTTGTCTTTACCTCCCTCGCCTGTGTATGAAATTGAACCCGCCTCCCTTTCTTCTTCACTCATTTTAAATGTTCCTCAAAATATTTTCGCCATCTACTAATACCTCCCCTCCCCATTACTAACTCCCTACTTGTTTTCAACTGAAACAAATCCAGTACTTTCCCTAGGCCTTTCTTATACTTGTTTAAACTCGCCTGCCAAAATTTTTTTTATTTTCATTAAAATTTTTCTGACAGTGCTTCTCTCCGCTCTCGTACATCCTCCCCGCTCTCCCTTTTGCCCTCTCTCACCACTCTCTTCACCTATTCTTTTACTCTCCATATACTCTGCTCTTCTTATAACACTTCTGCTTTGTAAAAATCCCTCTGTAAGCTACCTTTTTCTCTTTTTATCACACCCTTTACTTCATCATTCCACCAATCACTCCTCTTTCTGCTGCCCCCACCTCCTATAACCACAAACTTTTGCCCCACATTCTAATACTGCTATTTTTTAAAACTATTCGAACCCTTTCAACCCCCCAGCTACTCATCTTTGTCACTTGCCACCTTTCTTGCCAATAGTCGGCTTCATACTCTCCCCCCCCCCCCCCCCCCCCCCCCCCCCCCCCCCCCCCCGCCCGAAATTCCTCATCCCTTAGTTTATAAACTTTCACCTCTGTTCTACTTGTTGTTGCCACTTCCTCTATGCAAGAATTACCCCCATCCAGATACACGCAAAAATATAGTGCGACCCCCGTACCTTAAGAGCACCTCCCAATGCGACAATTTGTAAGTGTTTTATGTAAGTGTCGTTTGTACGTGTATGTTTTGCGGGCGTCTGAAAATGGACTAATCTACTTCACAATATCCTTATGGAACCAAATTCGGTCAGTACAGGCACCTGAAATACTTCTGGAATGAAAATAATATCGTTTTAACCGGGGGTCCACTGTATCATAATAACTAGGAAATAATAGGAAGGTGGGGTTAGGGTCCGTCCTTGAAAAGGTTGGAGGAGAGGGTGTAAAGTAAAGGAGGTTTTTGCGGCGCGAGGGGCCCTTGGGCTTCAGCAAGCGTGCGTGGTGTTGGTTTAGATAGTGAATGAAGGACGAAACTGTATTTGGGACCTGACGAGGGTTGGAGTGTGTGCAGCGCGTAATATTTAGTGAAGGGATCAGGGGAAACCGGTTTATATTTTTATATAAGCCGGACTGAACTCCTGAAATGGAAGTACAATGCCTTGCACTTCTTTAAAGGAAACTTGGGATTGGGTTGGAGGGATAAGTTGTGTATCTTTAATTATGTATATGCTTCTAAATGTTGTATCTGAGCACCTCTGCAAAAACATTGACTTATGTACGTGACCCGTGAGTGCAAATGTATGAATGATGATAAAGTATCCCTTTTATGTGCGTCACCCTGCCTTGGTGGGAGACGGCAGACTTTGTTAAAAAAAAATAAACACTAAGTTATTTTCGTATTGGAGAATTCCAATACAGGAACATCAATAGACAATTTTGGCGAAATAATGAAATACATCTTCAGATTGTAGTTTTCCAGGTTATACACGTGCTCTCATCTTGCCGTATGGATAAATCTTCGGTAGCTTCAGTGCTTACAGGTAGGGTCAACTGTTGTCATTTGGAGGTTGCAAGACAATTAGCAGAGAGAGAGATAGATAGTGGAACAAATAATCATCATATACCTATACATATTTGGAATTAACAGAATACAAGGATTTCCAGTGATGTAAATTTAATTTTTCTAGGTCAGAGCTTGACTTACCGTAGGCCAGGTCTTGAATTACCGTAGATGTCACCATATGACTTCTAAGGTATCATTTGTTATAAAATAAGCAGAAAATAATGTACTGTAATATCCAGAACAAACTTATGCTTACAATTTGTTCCACAGCTGTTTATATACCAGTTATTGAGCTCTGCAAGTTTGGGTTTGAGTATATTCCTGCTGATCGTCGTTGGACTTCTAGTAAATGGACCATATGCTTTGATCACAACGGCAGTGTCTGCTGACCTGGGCACCCACGATTCTCTCAGAGGCAATGCTAAAGCTCTTGCCACAGTGACTGCTATTATTGATGGCACTGGCTCCATAGGTAATGTATAAATGTTTTAATATATTTATTAATACAGCAGACCCTTTTATTACACGGTCGTTACATTCTTGAAAATGCTGTGTTAGGTAAACTGAAGAATTTATGGGAAAAATAGGGTTATGCTCCTGGGAGCTCCAAAAAAAAAAAAAAACTACTTTTTTTTTTTAGACCTTCAGATCTTACAGAAATAAAAGTGAATATGTAATTGTTGTTCACTGTTGTGATGTATTACCTTGTTTTTACTGCTTAAGACTACAAATGCAACAGAAATAATAGTATTTCTTACCTTAATTTGTGGGTGCTAGTGTTTGTGGATGATTGTGAAGAGAGTGGAGAGTTATGCTGTGGCCCTACTGGTCTGAGGTGGATGGTAGAGGTTCTGGTACTGAAGTTGATGGTTGTACTGGAGTGTGCATAAATTCTGTAATGGATTTCTGGGATATTTTACTCTGCAGTACACTATACATCTCATGGTAAGGTATCAGCTGCTCTACACACAGTTTCAGAGCACTGCTTCTAGATTTGTCAGGGTCCTCTTCAGTGAAAAAGTCTAACTTTAAGTCAGTTAGTCAAGTCAGTCAGTCAGTAAAGTAAGTCTGTCAGTAAATCAGTCAAGTAAGTCTGTCAGTTATTCATCATTCTTTTTAATTGTACAAACTGATGCTTCATTAAGGCCACAGGCTCTCTCTTGTCTAATATCTCTATTTTCTTCGTAACTCTAAGACTTGTACACTTATACCTTTTCTTTCCACTTTCAGCAACACTCGTATGCCTACAACAAGTTGGCCGTCTCCCACCTAATAAAAAAGATTATTCACATGTACCCGACAATATTGCTGGGCTTCTTTTTAGTAGGCTATACAGGAAAAGAGGTTACTAGCCCATTGTTCCCGGCATTTTAGTTGACTTTTACAATGTGTGGCTTGTGGAGGAAAGATTCTTATTCCACTTCACCATGGATATAAAAGGGAAAGTAATAAGAACAAGAACTATTAAGATAAAATCAAAGAAAACTCAGATGAGTGTGTATATATAAACTTTCTTTCAACACACCGGCCGTATCCCACCAAAAAGAAAAACGAAAGTTTCTCTTAAATTTAGTAATTTATACAAGAGAAGGGATTACTAGCCCCTTGCTCCCGGCATTTTAGTCGCCTCTTACAACACGCATGGCTTTCGGAGAAAGAATTCTGTTCCACTTCCCCATGGAGATAAGAGGAAATAAACAAGAACAAGAACTAGAAAGAAAATAGAAGAATACCTAGAGGGGTGTGTATATATATACTTGTACGTGTATGTGTAGTGTGACCTAAGTGCAAGTAGAAGTAACAAGACATACCTGAAATCTTGCATGTTTATGAGACAGACAAAAGACACCAGCAATCCTACCATCATGTAAAACAATTACAGGCTTTCGTTTTACATTCACTTGGCAGGACAGTAGTACAGTGGAACCTCTACTTGTGAGTGCATCCACGTGCGAGTTTTTCCAAATACGAGCAGTCAATGGGTCGGAAAATACTTTCATCATCATTCAACACTATCACCTCACTCACACATAATCACTGTTTTTGCATAGGTGCTCAGAACACAACAGTTTAGAAGCATATACTGTACGTATAAAGACACACAACATATCCCTCCAAACTGCTAATATCCCGAAACCCCTCCTTTAGAGTGCAGGCATTGTACTTCCCATTTCCAGGACTCAAGTCCGGTTATATAAAAATAACTGGTTTCCCTGAATCCCTTCACTAAATATTACCCTGCTCACACTCCAACAGATCGTCAGGTCCCAAATACCATTCGTCTCCATTCACTCCTATCGAACATGCTCATGCACGCCTGCTGGAAGTCCAAGCCCCTCGCCCATAAAACCTCCCTTACCCCTTCCTAGGTTCTCTACACATATGCTGCTGTGTGTGATAATCTATAGAGAGAAAATAACTTTTTTGTTTCATGTTTATGGTGGAGTACGAGTGTATATCATAGTTAGCCCTGTGCTATACTCAGTTTTCTCTAATATAAGCCACCAAGACAAGGATAGGAGAATGGTATTTGTTTACCATATCCTCTTCGTAACTCTGTCGAACTGCTCGGTGTTATGCCAAATATTATTCATTCTGGAGTATTTAACATTTTTTATGTTATTTATATTGTTTCTTATGTCATATTAGATCAATTGTGATAGGCAAATAAGCTGTAGTGTTGAAATTAGCGTAATAATAAAGCATATTCTCCTGCTTCATGAGACTGAGCTCATGGCAACCGACAGTGGCTTCAAAGCCACCTTATCTTTAATGGATAATGTACTGTGTAGGTGCTTTACATAATGAGAAGCATTTCTTTTATTCATTGGTTGGGGATTTCAATGCTAAAGTGGGTAAAAATGTTATGGAGGGAGTAGTAGGTAAATTTGGGGTGCCAGGGGTAAATGTAAATGGGGAGCCTTTAATTGAGCTATGTGTAGAAAGAAATTTGGTAATAAGTAATACATATTTTATGAAAAAGAGGATAAATAAATATACAAGGTATGATGTAGCACGTAATGAAAGTAGTTTGTTAGATTATGTATTGGTGGATAAAAGGTTGATGGGTAGGCTCCAGGATGTATATGTTTATAGAGGGGCAACTGATACATCAGATCATTATTTAGTTGTAGCTACAGTTAGAGTAAGAGGTAGATAGGAAAAGAGGAAGGCGGCAACAACAAGTAAGAGGGAGGTGAAAGTGTATAAACTAAGGGAGGAGGAAGTTCGGGCGAGATATAAGCGACTATTGGCAGAAAGGTGGGCTAGTGCAAAGATGAGTAGTGGGGGGGTTGAAGAGGGTTGGAATAGTTTTAAAAATGCAGTATTAGAATGTGAGGCAGAAGTTTGTGGTTATAGGAGGGTGGGGACAGGAGGAAAGAGGAGTGATTGGTGGAATGATGAAGTAAAGGGTGTGATAAAAGAGAAAAAGGTAGCTTACGAGAGGTTTTTACAAAGCAGAAGTGTTATAAGAAGAGCAGAGTATATGGAGAGTAAAAGAAAGGTGAAGAGAGTGGTGAGAGAGTGCAAAAGGAGAGCAGATGAAAGAGTGGGAGAGGCACTGTCAAGAAATTTTAATGAAAATAAGAAAAAATTTTGGAGTGAGTTAAACAAGTTAAGAAAGCCTAGGGAAAGTATGGATTTTTCCGTTACAAACAGAGTAGGGGAGTTAGTAGATGGGGAGAGGGAGGTATTAGGTAGATGGCGAGAATATTTTGAGGAACTTTTAAATGTTGAGGAAGAAAGGGAGGTGGTAATTTCATGCACTGGCCAGGGAGGTATACCATCTTTTAGGAGTGAAGTAGAGCAGAATGTAAGTGTGGTGGAGGTACATGAGGCATTACATAGAATGAAAGGGGGTAAAGCAGCTGGAACTGATGGGATCATGACAGAAATGTTAAAAGCAGGGGGGGATATAGTGTTGGAGTGGTTGGTACTTTTGTTTAATAAATGTATGAAAGAGGGGAAGGTACCTAGGGATTGGCGGAGAGCATGTATAGTCCCTTTATATAAAGGGAAAGGGGACAAAAGAGATTGTAAAAATTATAGAGGAATAAGTTTACTGAGTATACCAGGAAAAGTATACAGTAGGGTTATAATTGAAAGAATTAGAGGTAAGACAGAATGTAGAATTGCGGATGAGCAAGGAGGCTTCAGAGTGGGTAGGGGATGTGTAGATAAAGTGTTTACATTGAAGCATATATGAGAACAGTATTTAGATAAAGGTAGGGAAGTTTTTATTGTATTTATGGATTTAGAAAAGGCATATGATAGAGTGGATAGAGGAGCAATGTGGCAGATGTTGCAAGTTTATGGAATAGGTGGTAAGTTACTAAATGCTGTAAAGAGCTTTTATGAGGATAGTGAGGCTCAGGTTAGGGTGTGTAGAAGTGAGGGAGAATACTTCCCGGTAAAAGTAGGTCTTAGACAGGGATGTGTAATGTCACCATGGTTGTTTATATATTTATAGATGGGGTTGTAAAAGAAGTAAATGCTAGGGTGTTCGGGAGAGGGGTAGGATTAAATTATGGGGCATCAAATTCAAAATGGGAATTGACACAGTTACTTTTTGCTGATGATACTGTGCTTATGGGAGATTCTAAAGAAAAATTGCAAAGGTTAGTGGATGAGTTTGAGAATGTGTGTAAAGGTAGAAAGTTGAAAGTGAACATAGAAAAGAGTAAGGTGATGAGGGTATCAAATGATTTAGATTAAGAAAAATTGGATATCAAATTGGGGAGGAGGAGTATGGAAGAAGTGAATGTTTTCAGATACTTGGGAGTTGACGTGTCGGCGGATGGATTTATGAAGGATGAGGTTAATCATAGAATTGATGAGGGAAAAAAGGTGGAGTGGTGCGTTGAGGTATATGTGGAGTCAAAAAACGTTATCTATGGAGGCAAAGAAGGGAATGTATGAAAGTATGTAGTACCAACACTCTTATATGGATGTGAAGCTTGGGTGGTAAATGCAGCAGCGAGGAGACGGTTGGAGGCAGTGGAGATGTCTGTCTAAGGGCAATGTGTGGTGTAAATATTATGCAGAAAATTCGGAGTGTGGAAATTAGGAGAAGGTGTGGAGTTAATAAAAAGCATTAGTCAGGAGGCAGAAGAGGGGTTGTTGAGGTGGTTTGGTCATTTAGAGAGAATGGATCAAAGTAGAATGACATGGAAAGCATATAAATCTATAGGGGAAGGAAAGAGGGGTAGGGGTCATCCTCGAAAGGGTTGGAAAGAGGGGGTAAAGGAGGTTTTGTTGGTGAGGGGCTTGGACTTCCAGCAAGCGTGCATGAGCGTGTTAGATAGGAGTGAATGGAGACGAATGATACTTGGGACTGACGATCTGTTGGAGTGTGAGCAGGGTAATATTTAGTGAAGGGATTCAGGGAAACTGGTTATTTTCATATAGTCGGACTTGAGTCCTGGAAATGGGAAGTACAATGTCTGCACTTTAAAGGAGTGGTTTGGGATATTGGCAGTTTGGAGGGATATGTTGTGTATCTTTATACGTATATGCTTCTAAACTGTTGTATTCTGGGCACCTCTGCAAAAGCAGTGATAATGTGTGAGTGTGGTGAAAGTGTTGAATGATGATGAAAGTATTTTCTTTTTGGGGATTTTCTTTCTTTTTTTTGGGTCACCCTGCCTCGGTGGGAGACGACCGACTTGTTGAAAAAAAAAAAAAAACCATGGCTAGGGCTAAAAGTACGCAGGTTAAAACAATAAATGGAGAAAAAGAAACTGGAATGACTTGTGCAGCAAGTAGCGCCACCAAACAGTACCAGCAGGTTGGTGTGGCGACCCTGGAATTTTGAAATTATGCTAGCCAAAATTAGTGCCGAATAACTGAAGGAACCGAATAACTGATTGCCAGATTTGTGATGGCGGACCTGTACCTTGCATAGCACTAAAGGAATCTGAGACGATTACAAATTTTGAGGTAGCCATGGATGCAATTCGGATAATTGCAATGAGAATTGCATACAGTTCAGCTGTAAAAATGCTAACCAAGTCTAATAAATATCCTTGCACTGATATCTGGGAGCGAATCCTGGTGAAAGTTTTTTTTTTTTTTAATTCAATGGCTGTCTCCCACTAAGGCAGGGTGATTTTTTGTAAAATACTTCATGCATATGCACATTCTGAATGATAATCAAATAATTTTTTGTGTGTATGTTTGTAGGAGCTGCAGTTGGACCACTAATTGCTGGACCTGTATCAGAACTTGATTGGAACTACGTCTTCTATATGCTTATGGTAGCAGACGTTCTAGCTCTTCTTGTAAGTATAATGTTTAGTTTTTCCTGTTTAATACAAACTGCTGATCTTATAATGTAAATATAGAAATTAATAGTTTTTAAAATGTAAGAATAGAGTTACTGGGGCCAAACAAATCAGAAAAAGCTTTCTGAAAAAATGTAGATAAAATTATTTACTGGTTGACAACAATTTGGGCTGTTATTGGGCTGTATAAATCCAATTTGCCAATTGCATTGCACAATAACTGTGCAGGTCCACCATCACAAATCTGGCAATCAGACATCTTGTTCCATCAGGTATTCAGCACTAATTTTAGCTAGTATAATTTCAAATTTCCAGGGTTGCCACACCAACTTACTGGTGCTATTTGGTGATGCTGCTTGCTTCATAAGTCATTCCAATTTCTTTTTCTCCATTTATTGTTATAACCTGCTTACTTTTAGCCCTAGGCATGGTTCCAACAATTAAAAGAAATGATTCTCGTTGTGTAAAGCACACACAGTACATTGTCCACAAAAGATAAGGTGGCTTTGAAACCACTGTCGGTTGCCATGAGCTCAGTCTCGTGATGCAGGGGAATATGCTTTATTATCAACACTACGGTTTACTTGCCTGTCACAGTTGATCTAATATGTCATAATAAACAATATAAATAACGTAAAAACATGTTGAATACTCCAGAATGAATAATATTTGGCATAATACTGAGCGATTCGACTGAGTTATGAAGAGGATATGGATACAAGTACCATCCTTCTATCCCTGTTTTGGGGGCTTATGTTAGAGAAAATGGAGTATAGCACAGGGCTAACTGTGATATACACTCATAATGCACCATAAAACTGAAACAAAAAAGCTATTTTCTCTACATAGATTATCATACATAGCAGCATATGTGTAGAGAACCTAGGATAACCCAAAAAAAGGTCAAAGTGACTTACTTCTAGTACCTGGCTTGGGCTTGCCATATATGATTTTTGGTAAATATTTTTTTTCTTGATTGTTTGTTGGCTATCTTATTGAAGCTTGGCAATGTGTGATGGAAAGATGCTTCATAATGTACACCAAAAATGAAGAAATCGGATCATAAGTAATGGAGTTCACTTCTCAGCCATTAGCTGCCTCTTAGCGGTATATTTTTTGTGTGGTTTTTATGGCTGTATTCTCGTTTTCTTTTGGTCTCATTTGATTGAATGGAAGATATATTACAGAAATAGATATGATTTTGATTGCTTTCACGACAGAGTAACGGAAATGTTTAATTTTTGCTGATGTTCAATGAACTTTCTTGTGTAAGTCAGGTTGTTGGTTAACTTAATAAAGTGTATTCTAACCTAACCACTCTGTAATCCGGCAGATTCTATAATCCGGCACACTTCAGGTTTCAATGATGCTGAATTTGTGATGGCATCATTTAAACAATGGAAGTAATGTAGAGTTAAATATTGAGATGGGCTTTTTATCAGTTGATCTTAAGGATGGTCTATTTAAAAAAAAAAGATATATAGCTCCTATTGAACAAATAAATTTTTCTACAGCCCTCATGATTCTTATAGAATAATAATGTGTAGCTACATCACTAATGTATTATAACTACAAAAGTTATGTGAATATTGTTAGAGATACCATGCTAATGTTTTTCTTAGCAACATCTTTCTTTTACAGCTTTTGACACGACTCGTTATAAATGAGCTTCGGCAATGGCGACAACGGCGTAGACAAAACTATCACCATTCTCTCTGAAGATGGTAGCAAAGTTTATAGATTTATTCCAATATAAATGTAATACTTTACATTAAAAAAAATTGTACAGTGTAGCATATTAATTTTATAGGAAGTGTAATGAGTAGTAACTAGTAGTCATAGTTATATTTTATTTATGTATGATACATATTGTAGAAACTAGATGGATGAAAACAGTTTGATCAGCTGTTGTTTATTTCCTGAATCTTTTATTTTAAGTGCATAAAAAGCATATACAATGGACCCTCGAATTTCGTAATTAATCCGTTCCAGAGTCAGACGAAAGGCAAAATTTATGAATGGTGAAACCATTTTCCCTATGAGAAATAATGTAAATCCAATTAATCCATTCCAGACACCCAAAAGTACAGTATTAACAAAAATATTTTTTTTACATTAATATAGATCTACATACAGAAAACAATGAAACATCACGTATAAAACAATAATAACATCACACTTGCCTTTATTGAAGACTCTTGTTGGTGTATGGAAGACAGGAAGAGGGGAGAGGATGGAGAAGTTACACTATTCACAAATAACCCGCACATAAAAGAGAGAAGCTTACGACGACATTTCGGTCCGACTTGGACCATTGACAAAGTCACACTAACAGAGGTGGAGCAGGACGGCTATATATAGGCAGGAAGAGGTGGAGGTAGTAGTAGTAGTAGTAGTTAGTGTGACTTTGTCAATGGTCCAAGTCGGACCGAAACGTCGTCGTAAGCTTCTCTCTTTTATGTGCGGGTTATTTGTGCATCGTTCCAGTCACGGTATTGTGCCTTTTTGTTATTTAAGTTACACTATTGTTTGGATGAGGAATCCCCTTTCCATAAAGACTTAGGTACCAAGCCCTTATCTGGGGTTACATCCCTTCTTTGTTTTTTAATGGCACTAGGACCAGCTCGAGTCACTGGACCCTTGTTGCACAAAAAAACTGTCCAGAGCTCTTGCAGTTCTACCCTCTACCACAATCATTACCACCCTCTACCATGATCACTACCACTACCACCCTCTACCACCATCACAACCACTACCACCCTCTACCACTATCACTACCACCCTCTACCACCACCACTTTCGTATTTTTCTACAAACTTTTTCCATAATTCTGTTGTGTTTCTCACTTTCTTTACCAAAGGGCTGGCACTAGAAGCTTTCTTTGGGCCCATGGTGGCTTGTTAGCAGTTGCAAGCACAAAAAAGAATGGAATATTACGAAATGTATTGTATGAACACGTGAGGTGATGGTCACTTGCCAATAAATAATGCCACACTGACTGGGAATGGTGTGTGGGGCGCCTTTGTGTGGTGTGGATGCTGGGAGGCCGCTCATACATGTTCCAGACAACCGACGAATGACGAGGCAAATTACAAACCGTGAGGCAATATTTTGACAAAAAAAAGTTCTCGGAAGGCGAAATTTACAAATCACGAGGCTTTAGAAACTCGAGAGTCCACCGTACGGTGGTACTTCGGTTTATGTCTGCTTTGGAATAAGTCCAACTTGGTATACATCCTGTTTGGACACGAAAATCTTTGCTTGGTGTACGACCTTTGTTTGGAATATGACTCACGTGCTAGAACTTGTATGGTCAAAATGAGTCATGACACTGCTCGCTACTCTTGTTTACCTCTCTAGAGACAAAGCCACAACTGCCCACTAATGTCAGTTTGCCCTTTGCTACCATTCAATGAACAACCCATGCTGTAATTCTGTGAATTTTCATGTGATTTTGTTTTTTCGTATAAATTTTTAGTAAATTAATTAACCCCCTAACACGACTCCTCTCATTCTGCCCATGGATCAGCAAGTCAGAAAAGAGAAAGGGACTCTCCTTCCAAACAATAACATTTCCTCCTCCTCCCTAGTAGGCACTCGAATCTTTTCAGCAAAGTAAAGTGAGGTTAAATTTGCACTTATTTCATCTAATTCTTTTGTATTTATGTATGTATTTTAGTATTAAGGAGTGTTTAAATTACTTATACAGGCACCATCCAACTTATGACCGAGTTCGGTTCCGACAAACCGGTCCTAAGTCGAAAAGGACGTAAGTCGAACCTTGCTACAGAATATCAACATCACATTTTTGAAATGAGCTTATTTTATTTTTTTATTTTGGTATTTCATTTTTTACTTTACTTTTTATGCTGCTAGTACTGTATTTTATACTGAAAAGTTTAGGATAAACACTGTGTACAACACAAACAGTTGTTTATTTCCCAGAAATTTGGCATAGAAAACACGGCCGTATGTCGAGCAGGTCGTAAGTCGGATGGTAGGTGTATTAGTATTAAGCAGTGTTTAAATTATTTTATACAACCCCATCAATGTATAATATGCCAATAACAATAGGATTTTTTTTCATGGGAACGGATTAATTGTTTTCCCTATATTTCTTATGGGAAAATTTGTTTAGTATATGCCCTGTTTGGTATAAGTTCAAGGTCCTGGAATGGATTAAGGATGTATACTGAGGTACCGCTGTATTAAGACAGCCATGGACAAGTCATTGGCCATACTGCATTCTATTTTTAATTTATGAACCTAGTACAGTAATTACACTGTCAGGGCTTGGATTTTTTTTTTGGGGGGGGGGGGGGGGGTAGGCATTGTATGACTCCCCAATAGTTCAGCATTTGTCTGTGAATGTAATAATAGTAAAGTAATGATAGATGTACAAATATTAAGAAAGACTATTATATCATTACAGTATTTAATTTTTTACTGAAATTGCACCAAATACTAAAACCTTCAATAAGATATAATTTAGAAATGAATACAAACAGGTAGGATCCCTTACCTTTAAATCCATCCTCAATCCTCTGAGAAATCAGTTGAGGAAATAAAAAATTAATATTACTAAAAGGATCCAGAAAACATTTGGAAACATTTCTTTAATGGTAATTTCTTCTACTAGTTTTAAGGAAAGATAGTGAATAGGGAAGTTTAAATTTACTGTAAAAATTAACTGGCATGCAAGAGATGAATATTTTTGTGGCTCTAAAGGCTATTCATTCCTTTTCCAGGGAGGTTCCTCGATGCCAGTGAGGGGTTTTTGATCCAAGGAATTAACCAGTCCTTCCCTTCCTTGGATCGAACCAAATTGCCTCCCACTCCAAGTTTAAAGATATAAATTTCATAAACTCTTACCAAGGCTACATAGAAATAACATCAAATACAATTATCACTATTGCCTTTCTGTTATGAAAACCAAGGAATATGGTTTCTTATTAAACAAAAGATATCAGTAATGCAGTAAACAATTTATTGTAGACATTTCTTTCAAATGAGTAAATGACATAGTTCATTGAGTATCGTTTTTAATAAAAAATATATTTTGTGCTGATTAGTGAAGGAATGTGTATCAACCATTGAGAGCCAGTAGGTTGAGGGTAGGATACTATTATTATTAATTTTTATTATGGGGAAGTGTTAAACCTGTAGTGGTCATACAATACCTGCAGAATAGGAGATAATCAGGTTCGATTCAAGAACAGGTCAGATTCCTTGGATCGAGAATTCTCCAGAGTCAAGGTTTCTCCCTTAACCCTTAAACTGTCCAAATGTAGATCTACGTTTACGCGCGTAGCGCTCAGAGCTTGATTTTCTCCTTAAGAAAGCAAGTAAAAAAAAAAAATAGATCTATGTTCGGAGCGCTACACAAGCAAACGTAGATCTACATTTGGATAGTTTAAGGGTTAAGGGGTGAGGGTAGTAAAGCCTTGTTAAACTCAGTTTTATCAAGAATTCAGTGTTCATATTGTACACTTATGGGTAAAAAGTTAGAATAATGAGGCTAAGCTGCAAGTCAGGGGTAGTGAAATAGCTCATGAGTGTGCACTTAACCCTTGGAGGGCCAGTCACATACAAGTACGTCGTTGCAGCCAGGGTCGGTCACGTACTTGTATGCCTAAATTCTAGCGCCTTCAAATCTGGTGGAAGAAAGCTGACAGGCCTATATATGGAAGAAAGCTGGCAGGCCTATATATGGAAGAAAGTTGGCAGGCCTATACATGAAAGAATAGGTCTGCATGGTCAGTGTGCACAGTATAAAAAAAATCCTGAAGCGAGCAGTGCATAATGAGAAAAAAACCTCCGACTGTGTTTTTGGTTTAAAACAGCGACTTTCTAGTGTATTTTTGTATGGTATTTACGATTGTATTCTCGTTTCCTTGGTCTCATTTGATAGACTCGAAGATATGTTACAGAAATAGAGATGATTTTGATTAGTTTCACTATGGCAAGTATGTACATACCTTGAAATTGAGCTCAAAATAGCGAGAATGATAGATTTTTGCCGATGTTCAAGAGTAAACAAATCATGCCACACGTCCAATACACATCAACTGGTGAGTCTAATATTCTTTCACAAGTGCGTTGACATCATTTATACCCTTTTTGCAATGGTGCAGTAGTATACATAATAAAAACCTATTTTCTGTGAGAATAAAAATTCAAAATGGAAAGCAAAAGTAATGTAAGAGGGGCCTAGAGATGTGACTAATGAACAGATAAAATGTTATTTTAGTGCCATGAATGTCTGTCTTGTTTATTCTGGATGCTATTTTGAAATTGGCATCTTTCGAAATTTGTGAAATTTCCAATTTCTGACCACTTTATTGGGTAGTTGAAATTGGTAAATGGCAGTTTCTTGTACTTAATTGATAGAACAAATGGAGTTCTAGCAAAATAGCTATGATTTTAGATGGCTGCAACATTGGAATTGGCCAAAAGTAGGGCTCAAAGTGGGCGAAATCGCCGATGTGTAAATATCGTAGAAACTGCTAACTTCACGAGAGCACAGAATAAATAAATAATTTTTTTTTTTTTTTTTTTCCAAAAAATTTTTCAACCCTGAGAACGAGTTTGTGAGAGGGCCTCTTGACCCTCAAGGGGTTAAGTTTGTCATCACACATCTGTAATAATTTACTTTCCAAATTTAGCAAGCTTCACGTGGTATGATTGTACACATTTATTTATACACACTCATCTGAGTTTTCTTTGATTTTATCTTAATAGTTCTTGGTCTTATTAATTTTCCTTTTATATCCATGGGGAAGTGGAATAAGAATCTTTCCTCCGTAAGCCATGCGTGTTGTAAAAGTCAACTAAAATGCCGGGAACAATGGGCTAGTAACCCCTTTTCCTGTAAAGATTACTAAAAAGAATAAGAAGAAGAAAATTGTCAAAGTGGGAAGTCTGAATGTGCGTGGATGTTGTGCAGATGATAAGAAAGAGATGATTGTGGATGTTATGAATGAGAAGAAGCTGGATGTCCTGGCTTTAAGTGAAACAAAGCTGAAGCGGGTGGGAGAGTTTCAGTGGAGAGGAATAAATGGGATTAGGTCAGGGGTTTCAAATAGAGTTAGAGCTAAAGAAGGAGTAGCAATAATGTTGAAGGATAAGCTATGGCAGGAAAAGAGGGACTATAAATGTATTAATTCAAGGATTATGTGGAGTAAAATAAAGATTGGATGTGAAAAGTGGGTTATAATAAGCTTGTATGCACCTGGAGAAGAGAGAAGTGTAGAGGAGAGAGAGAGATTTTGGGAATGTTGAGTGAATGCGTGGGGAGTTTTGAATCAAGTGTGAGAGTAATGGTGGTTGGGGATTTTAATGCTAAAGTGGGTAAAAATGTTATGGAGGGAGTAGTAGGTAAATTTGGGGTGCCAGGGGTAAATGTAAATGGGGAGCCTTTAATTGAGCTATGTGTAGAAAGAAATTTGGTAATAAGTAATACATATTTTATGAAAAAGAGGATAAATAAATATACAAGGTATGATGTAGCACGTAATGAAAGTAGTTTATTAGATTATGTATTGGTGGATAAAAGGTTGATGGGTAGGCTCCAGGATGTACATGTTTATAGAGGGGCAACTGATATATCGGATCATTATTTAGTTGTAGCTACAGTTAGAGTAAGAGGTAGATGGGAAAAGAGGAAGGTGGCAACAACAAGTAAGAGGGAAGTGAAAGTGTATAAACTAAGGGGGGAGGAAGTTCGGGTGAGATATAAGCGACTATTGGCAGAAAGGTGGGCTAGTGCAAAGATGAGTAGTGGGGGGGTTGAAGAGGGTTGGAATAGTTTTTAAAAATGCAGTATTAGAATGTGGGGCAGAAGTTTGTGGTTATAGGAGGGTGGGGGCAGGAGGAAAGAGGAGTGATTGGTGGAATGATGAAGTAAAGGGTGTGATAAAAGAGAAAAAGGTAGCTTATGAGAGGTTTTTACAAAGCAGAAGTGTTATAAGAAGAGCAGAGTATATGGAGAGTAAAAGAAAGGTAAAGAGAGTGGTGAGAGAGTGCAAAAGGAGAGCAGATGATAGAGTGGGAGAGGCACTGTCAAGAAATTTTAATGAAAATAAGAAAAAATTTTGGAGTGAGTTAAACAAGTTAAGAAAGCCTAGGGAAAATATGGATTTGTCAGTTAAAAACAGAGTAGGGGAGTTAGTAGATGGGGAGATGGAGGTATTGGGTAGATGGCGAGAATATTTTGAGGAACTTTTAAATGTTAAGGAAGAAACAGAGGCAGTAATTTCATGCACTGGTCAGGGAGGTATACCATCTTTTAGGAGTGAAGAAGAGCAGAATGTAAGTGTGGGGGAGGTACGTGAGGCATTACGTAAAATGAAAGGGGGTAAAGCAGCTGAACTGATGGGATCATGACAGAAATGTTAAAAGCAGGGGGGGATATAGTGTTGGAGTGGTTGGTACTTTTGTTTAATAAATGTATGAAAGAGGGGAAGGTACCTAGGGATTGGCAGAGAGCATGTATAGTCCCTTTATATAAAGGGAAAGGGGACAAAAGAGACTAAAAATTATAGAGGAATAAGCTTACTGAGTATACCAGGAAAAGTGTACGGTAGGGTTATAATTGAAAGAATTAGAGGTAAGACAGAATGTAGGATTGCGGATGAGCAAGGAGGTTTTAGAGTGGGTAGGGGATGTGTAGATCAGGTGTTTACATTGAAGCATATATGTGAACAGTATTTAGATAAAGATAGGGAAGTTTTTATTGCATTTATGGATTTAGAAAAGGCATATGATAGAGTGGATAGAGGAGCAATGTGGCAGATGTTGCAAGTATATGGAATAGGTGGTAAGTTATTAAATGCTGTAAAGAGTTTTTATGAGGATAGTGAGGCTCAGGTTAGGGTGTGTAGAAGAGAGGGAGACTACTTCCCGGTAAAAGTAGGTCTTAGACAGGGATGTGTAATGTCACCATGGTTGTTTAATATATTTATAGATGGGGTTGTAAAGGAAGTAAATGCTAGGGTGTTTGGGAGAGGGGTGGGATTAAATTATGGGGAATCAAATTCAAAATGGGAATTGACACAGTTACTTTTTGCTGATGATACTGTGCTTATGGGAGATTCTAAAGAAAAATTGCAAAGGTTAGTGGATGAGTTTGGGAATGTGTGTAAAGGTAGAAAGTTGAAAGTGAACATAGAAAAGAGTAAGGTGATGAGGGTGTCAAATGATTTAGATAAAGAAAAATTGGATATCAAATTGGGGAGGAGGAGTATGGAAGAAGTGAATGTTTTCAGATACTTGGGAGTTGACGTGTCGGCGGATGGATTTATGAAGGATGAGGTTAATCATAGAATTGATGAGGGAAAAAAGGTGAGTGGTGCGTTGAGGTATATGTGGAGTCAAAAAACGTTATCTATGGAGGCAAAGAAGGGAATGTATGAAAGTATAGTAGTACCAACACTCTTATATGGGTGTGAAGCTTGGGTGGTAAATGCAGCAGCGAGGAGACGGTTGGAGGCAGCGGAGATGTCCTGTTTAAGGGCAATGTGTGGTGTAAATATTATGCAGAAAATTCGGAGTGTGGAAATTAGGAGAAGGTGTGGAGTTAATAAAAGTATTAGTCAGAGGGCAGAAGAGGGGTTGTTGAGGTGGTTTGGTCATTTAGAGAGAATGGATCACAGTAGAATGACATGGAAAGCAATATAAATCTATAGGGGAAGGAAGGCGGGGTAGGGGTCGTCCTCGAAAGGGTTGGAGAGAGGGGTAAAGGAGGTTTTGTGGTAAGGGGCTTGGACTTCCAGCAAGCGTGCGTGAGCGTGTTAGATAGGAGTGAATGGAGACGAATGGTACTTGGGACCTGACGATCTGTTGGAGTGTGAGCAGGTAATATTTAGTGAAGGGATTCAGGGAAACCGGTTATTTTCATATAGTCGGACTTGAGTCCTGGAAATGGGAAGTACAATGCCTGCACTTTAAAGGAGGGGTTTGGGATATTGGCAGTTTGGAGGGATATGTTGTGTATCTTTATATGTTTATGCTTCTAGACTGTTGTATTCTGAGCACCTCTGCAAAAACAGTGATAATGTGCGAGTGTGGTGAAAGTGTTGAATGATGATGAAAGTATTTTCTTTTTGGGGATTTTCTTTCTTTTTTGGGTCACCCTGCCTCGGTGGGAGACGGCCGACTTGTTGAAAAAAAAAAAAAAAAAAAAAAAAAACTAGCTTTTCTTTATGATAAGTTTGTGTGGCAGCCTCACTGTACAGCACCATATATTTAAATATTCTAAACTGTTTTGAACACTTTTTGGCCTTTCATTTAATAATTTTCTGAAAACTCAAAGTATAAAATATTTTTATTAGGTATTATTTGCATTTGTTGATATCTGTAATAGTAAAAGATTATAAAATTGTGGATTTTTTCTTCACAAGCCCCGGGGCTTCAGTCATTTAACCCTTTGACTGTTTGTCATATATATACATCTTACGAGCCACCGTGTTTGACGTATATATATACTCAAATTCTAGCGGCTGCAAATCAAGCAGGAGAAAGTTGGTAGGCCCACATGTAAGAGAATGGGTCTATGTGGTCAGTGCGCATCATATAAAAAAAAATCCTGCAGCGAGCAGTGCATAATGAGAAAAAAAACTCCGACCGTTTTTTTTTTTTTAAATTAAAATGCCGACTTTGTGGTCTATTTTCGTATAGTATTTATGGTTGTATTCTCGTTTTCTTGGTCTCATTTGATAGAATGGAAAACATATATAAATAGAGGTGATTTTTATTGGTTTTACTATCAAAAGAACCTTGAAATGCAGCTCAAAATAGGGAAAATGTTTGATTTTTGCTGATGTTCAAAAGTAAACAAATGATGTCATTTTCCAATAAGTGTCCAAGTAACCATTCTAATATGTAGTCATGAATGGGTTGACATTATTTGTACAATTATTACAATATTGCAGTAGTCTGCATAACAGTAAATCTTCTATTTTTTGTTTGAATAAAAATTCAAAATAGAAAGCAAGAGTAATATCAGAGGGGCCTGGAGACGTGACTGATGAACAAAGACAATGTTATTTTAGAGCCAGGAATGTCTGCATGTTCATTCTGGAGCTTATTTTGAAATTGTCATATTTTTTAATTTTTCTGAAATTGGCCTAATTGCAAATTTCTGACCACGTTATTGGGTAGTTAAAATCGGTAAATGGGCAGTTTCTTGTACTCAATCGATAGAAAAAATAGAGTTCTAAAGAAATAGCTATGAGTTTGGTCGACTGGAACAATGGAATTAGCTGAAAATGGGGCTCAAAGTGGGTGAAATTGCCGATTTGTAAATATCGCCTAGGTCACTAACTTCGCGAGGTCGTAATTCCATCAGTTTTCCATCAAATTTCATTCTTTTGGTGTCATTACAATCGGGAAAAGATTCATTAGAAAAAATAATTTTTTTTTGGGGGGGGGGGGGATTTTGCGACACCAGGAGACACCTCAGGATTGGGGGTTAATACAGTCAAGGGGTTAATAAGGTTACTGTAGTGGCCAGCATGCCAGTAATAAGCACCTCACTGAATGCATAAAAGTTATGCAGTGGAACCTCGGCTTACGAATACCCCACAATGTGAATTTTTCAGGATACAAACAGTCACTCGATAGATTTTTTGCTTCTGGATATGAATGAAATTTCAGGATGCGAACTTCCACCTCAAGGGAGGTTCCTTGGCAAGGAGCTTTTGATCAAGCGAATAGGATCTGTGCTCAACTTCCCTAAATTAACAGTAATAATAATAATAATATTATAATATTATTATTATTATTATTATTATTATTATTATACTCTTTCTTCTTTCTTTCAACAAATCGGCCGTATCCCACCAAGGCAGGGTAGCCCAAAAAGAAAAACGAAAGT